AGAAGAAATCGATATAGAAATTTAATTTATATTTCAGATCAACAAAGAGATCAACAGATCAACAAAACTAGGAGTGGGTTTTTTTGAAAGAATTAATGAGATTGATAAACCCTTAGCCAGACTTATCAAAAAGAAAGGAAGTTAATAAATAAAGTTGTGAACGAAATAAGAGAGATCACAAACAACCCTGAAGAAATACAATTCTGGAAGGAGTGAATAAATTCCTAGAAACATATAAACTACCAAAACTAAACAAGAAGAAATAGAAAAGCTGAAGAGACACATAACCAGAAAAGAAATTGAACCAGTAATCAAACATCTCCCAATAAACAAGGGTCCAAGGCTGGATGGCTTCCCAGAGGGATTCTACCAAACATTTAAAGAAGAATTAATACCATTCCTCTGAAACTGTTCCAAAAAATGGAAATGGAAGGAAAACTTCCAAGCCCATTGCACGAGGCCAGATACCAAGCCCATACCTTGATCCCAAAACCAGACAAAGACCCCACCAAAAAGAAGTACTGACCAATATCCCTGATGAACATGGATGCAAAAATTCTCACCAAGACACTAGCTATTCAAATCCAACAGTACATTAAAAGGATTATTCACTATGACCAAGTGGGATTTATTCCTGGGCTGCAGGAGTGGTTCAACATCTGCAAATCAATGTGATACACCACATTAACAAAAGAAAGGACAAGAACCATATTATCCTCTCAGTAGATGCAGAAAAAGCATTTGACAAAATACAGCATTATTTTTTGATAGAAACTCTCCACTGTGTAGGGATAGAGGGAACAGACCTTAATTAACATCATAAGACATACATGAAAGACCCATAGCGAATATCATCCTTGATTGGGAAAAACTGAAAGCTTGTCTCCTAAAGTAAGGAACAAAACAGGGATGTCCACTCTCACTGCAATTGTTCAATAACACTGGAAGTCCTAGCCTCAGCAATCAGACAACAACAACAACAAAAGTCATCCAACTCAGCAAAGAAATAAAACTTTCACTCTTTGCAATGATGTGATACTCTATAAAGAAAACCCAAAAGACTCTGCCAAAAAAAATTGCTAGAACAGATGAAATTCAGCAAAGTCGCAGGATATAATATTAATGCACAGAAGTCAGTTGCATTTCTATACACCAACTATGAAGCAGAGGAAAGGGAAATCAAGGAATCTATCCCATTTATAATTACACTGAAAACCATAAAATACCTAGGAACAAACCTAACAAAAGAGGTAAAGGATCTGTATTCTGAAGACTATAGAACACTTAGGAAAAAAATTGAGGAAGACACAAAGCAATGGAAAAACATTGCATGCTCATGAATTGGAAGAACAAATATTACTAAAATGTCTTTGCTACCCAAAGCAGTCTACACATTCAATGCAATCTCTATCAAAATACTCATCAGCATTTTCCACAGAGCTGGAACAAACAATCCTAACATTTGTATGGAACCAGAAAAGACCCTGAATAGCCACAGGAATGTTGAAAAAGAAAACCAAAGCTGGAAGCATCACAATTCTGGACTTCAAGCTGTAGTACAAAGTTGTAATCATCAATATAGTATTGTACTGGCACAAAAACAGACACATAGATCACTAGAACAGAATAGAGAATCCAGAAAGGGACCCTCAATTCTATGGTCAACTAATCTTTGACAAAGCAGGAAAGAATTCCACTGGAAAAAAGACAATCTCTTCAACAAATGGTGTTGGGAAAATTGGAGAGCCACATACAAAAGGATGAAACTGGGCCACTTTCTTACACCAGACAAAAATAAACTCAAAATATATGAAGACATAAATGTGAGACAGGAATCCACCAGTATCCTAGAGAAGAATGCTAGCAGCACCCACTTCTACCTCAGTCACAGCAACTTCTTGCTAGACACGTCTCCAAAGGCATGAGAAACAAAAGCAAAAATGAACTATTGGGACTTCATAAGGATAAAAAGCTCTTATATTGCAAAGGTAACAATAAACAAAACTAAAATGCAGCCTATGGAATGGGAGAAGATACTTACAAATGACATATCAGATAAAGGGTTAGTATCCAATATCTATAAAGAACTTATCGAACTCAATACCCCAAACCCCAAAAAATTGAATCAGGAAGTGGGCAGAAGACACGAACAGACATTTTTCCAAAGAAGGCCAACCAATAGTCAACAGACACATGAAAAAATGCTCCACATCACTCAGCATCAGGGAAATACAAGTCAAAACCACAATGAGATACCATCTCACACCAGTCAGAACGACTAAAATGAACAACTCAGGAAATGAAAGATGTGGGTGAGGATTCGGAGAACGGGGAACCCTCTTACACTGTTGGTAGGAATGTAGACTTGATGCAGCCATTCTAGGAAACAGTATGGAGGTTCCTCAAAAAGTTAAAAATAGAACTACCCCATGACCCAGCAATTGCACTATTAGGTATGTATCCAAAGGATACAAACATAGTGATTTGGAGGGGCACATGCACTTCAATATTTATAGCAGCAATGTCCACAATAGCCAAAACATGAAAAGAGCCCAGATGTTCATTGACAAATGAATGGATAAAGAGGATGTTATATATGTAAAATGGTTGGCCATCACCTGAATTTCTCCAAATTGTTAGCAGGGCTCCTGACTCCTCTTGCATTAGTCTTTTCTTGCCATTTCTTATCTACTCTATTTTAGTCACCCTTCTCTCCACAATGTCACTCCCATTACTGAAACCTATACCTAAATAGGAATTTTGTGTCATGATTATATTCTCACACTACCTTTTAGGAACATTTTAATCTGAATAGTGCATATATTAGCCTTATCCTTATTTTAAAGCTAAGGAAATTAAAGCCCTACAAATAAACTTATTCAAAGTAAGGTTTACCTAAATTCATAGCAAAACTAGAATTAAAATCTCAGATATCCTAAGCTCAAGATTCCTTTTGTCATACTGGCTGAGGGAGTCATGAATGTGTCATGCATGATAGCAGTATTTGGAGGAGGAAATAGTGAATCAAGTCTTGGGGAAAAGCCAGTGAAGGCCAAATGGTGAGCGTGTCTCTGCTGCCCTCTAGTGACCATGTATCTAGTAGATACATGATTCTTCTTCCCTTTCTGTTCTGTCTTCTCTCAGATCCTTGTTTGGCCTGCCTGGTCTCCGCAGCATCTCCTGCCTTTTTCTCCCACGTGTCAACATGTCCCTACAAAAAACCGGACACCTGTAATTCATAGCATAATTCAGGACAGAGTTCTTATTTCCAAACTGGAAGACCTTGAGAAAGTATATGTAAGGGCTTTTTGAGAAGAGATGTACAAAAATTTAAATGAGCTTCCTTAAGTGGGCAGTTGCTACTACTGTGACTGACCATAAATAAAATGCAAAGGTAGGTACTAAAGATTTCTGGGAGAATTCCAGCATCCTATATAATTGAAATGATATGGAATATGTGCAATGGGTAGAATAGTTTCACACCACAAAGTTAAGCGTAAAAAAATTTCTGTATTTTCCTATTATTGATCCTAATTTTTATGTCAAGCACTATAATGCCTTTTGACAGAGGAATTAAGCTAGTAATTGCTGGGGAAAGTCAGTGGCATTCATAACAATTAATAATTTAAAAACATCCCTCTGCCTAGGGTTATTTCTAAGGTAGGGATGATGCAGGGTTGCTGTGGAAGGCTGTCCTCATATTTCCACCACTGACTCCCACTATACGCCTTGGTAACATCTTGCCTCCTAGTGGTCACTGTCCTTCCCACATTGGTGCTGATGTTCTTTTCACAACATCCTCTTGCTGTATCATTCCACACCAGCATTTTGGGTTGCAAACTTTCCCTCCAGCATTTGAGCCTTACAAGGTCCACCTCTTCTTATGTTGGGTGACTTTCCTTTGCTGCCTTCATGTTATTGTGGGAGAGGAAGTATGTGGCACTGCAGCCATTCTAGGAATCAGAAGTAAAGTGGAGCACTTGCCCCATCTACCTAACTGAGAGAGAGAGAAAGAGTCAAGAGATGCTCAATGATGTTTAATTATTTTTCTCTCCTCTTCAAAATCCTCTTTCTCCACAGTGGGAAGGGTCTTCACCTACACTGAAAGATGAAGGGAAAAAATCTTACATTAAGAATAGCAACTTCAAGTTAGGTGCCCAAATATGGGCTTATCATTCAGATTGTGAAGTGAAGACACTTCAGGAAAAAAATAAACTCAAGCCATATCACATCATAATATCACAAATGCTTATATTTTATATTGAAATGAACATCTAACGTTAAATTTTAAATTATTCTGGAGAACCCTTGAATCCCTGAGAACATCTCTGCGGAACCCAGGGAGACTCGCACTCTGATTCAAGAAAATTGACTTAAGGGAAATTTAAGGGAAAATCTAACCTAAACAAAAGCACATGCCAAAAAAAAAATGTGCCTGTAGTTTTAATCATTATTATTTTTGTGCCCAAACATCTGGTTGATAAGCTTATTAAGTTTTCTTAGTATCTTAGTGTCAATATCTGACTCAGCAAAGAGGGATAGAGAATCAAGATAAAAAGAGCAATAAACTTGCACATATGAGACCTTAGCTGGGTGCCATGATGTTGGGGAGGGTAATTCCTTTCTTTAGCCTGTTTTCTCACCAGTAAAAGCAGAGATGGGGCATTTGCTTTTCAGTCTTGCTTTTAACTCTAATCCCTAGCAAACTGCATTCAGAAGCAAACTCGACAGTAGGTGGGGGGACCCTTGATGTGTGGGAGGTGGAGAAAAGGTTGAGGACAGACCACCACTACTAGGTGCTGTGTGAGGGCCAGTTGGAGATGGCACAGACTAGTTGTCAAATTGGCCCCAGTGTTAGTGCCCTGGCTTTCTGGGCCTGGTGAGGAGTGCTAATGTCACAATTTCGTCTGCAAGCCTGAAGAACTCATAACGAAACCCAGTCAAAGTCCACTTGTCGGAGTTTCACTTTTCTGAGGATTACAGCCAGTAGGAGGTGAACACGCTATTCTTTTTGGAATCTCATGTTCAGGGTGGGCCTCCAGGACTAGGTTTGTGCTAGTTTAGGTGACACAGCACAGTCTCCTTTCACCCAAAGCCAGGGGTCACCGGGGGCTACCTCCACACCATCTGGCTGTCTCTTAGTTCTCACGCCAGTCAGCACCCTCAGGACCCTGACCTGCTTTTGGACACCTTCTGCATGGATTAAGGGTACACCTGAGACCCACTGAGAAGACCCAGCAGCCTCTGGTTTTATCCTGAAGGAGAGAAGAGACACGTGAGTGGCTTGATGAGTCCCTGGCAGCTGATGACAATGGGAAATTGGGGAAGTCAACTAAGATGAGGAAGTGGAGCATGTGGACAGTCGGCACCCACAGGAAACTCTGCTACTTGCCATTATACCTTCCAACTTTCATCAGATACTTGTACCCCACTCCATGTTTTTCAAAGTCTGCCATAGCTTATGTGATCCTTATAGTATTGCTGTGCAGTGGGAGGGGTGAGGGCACTAGATTACAACTCAGAAAAGTAGGCTCATGTTATTCATTTGTCATGCATGTTGTTGTGCTTGTGTCCCTGGGCCTCGCTTGTGTGTCATGTGGTGATGATACAGCTGAGAAAATGTTAGGGATGAGAGGAGGGAAAGGAGAGTTTCAAGAAAATAAAAGGAGATTCTCAGGTGACAGAAGTAAACACAAAGTCACCTGTCTTCCAGAATTCTTATTTTACTTTGCTTTCTCTCTATAAAAATGTGTTAACATATAATCAATTATATCTATTTTTAAAATTAATACAGATATATAAACTTCAAACTTTGTGAACTTAATAAATTTATTCTCGCCAGGTTATTACTGTGGTCACTTGGCATTTTGAGTATTTAACATTTGAGGTTTTTTACTGGAAAAAACCCCCACCTCTAATGACTCATGACATATAGCAATTTGTAAGTTTATTTGGTAGTAATTGTAACAGTGGCCTTGGAATTCAGAATTGTTATTCACCTCAACACACGCTACCTCTTATCACTCACCATTCCATCTTAACATTAGACTTTATCCAGAAAATTAAATGAAACATGGGTTTTTGAACATTCGATGATATATATACATGTTAGATCACATTTCTTGACAATACCCAACTTTACCATATTCTGATTCTCAGCCTATGTTCAAATGGTAAAATAGAGATGTCAAAAGCCTTGTAATGAAAATGTTTTAATTTAAAGTTTGCAATGTAAGTCCAGTTGTTTATTTACAAAAAATCTGCCAAAATTTTTCATCATAGATTTATGATCTATGGCAGTGTTATTCCTTGGCATTATTGACACTTTGGGCTGGATAATTCTTTGATCTAAGGGCTTTTCTGTGAATTGTAGCATATTTAGCAGCACACTGAATGCCCTCTTACCCCAGTTATGACCACCAAAAACTTCTGCAGAAATTGCTAAAGATCCTCCAAGGGCAAGACTATCAATTTTCCCATTCAGAACCCTAGTCGAAGGCAGTTATTCCCCCCGTTTATGCTTGCTCATGAATTTGTCTCTGAGCACCAATGAAGATTAAGATGCATTTTCACAACTTTCTTCAAATGCTTTGTTAATTTGAGCAATTTTTTTCCAAGTTACATTTGTAGGTTTCCCCCTGCTTTAACATGAAAGACCTAAAGGAACACATTTATCTATAAACCAGTTTGTAGCAAATGTGCGTCCCTCTTAGTTCACACGACTGAGTAGTGGTGCTTGGGATGAACTTTGCAGGCTTTATTTGCTCTTACCTGGTGGAACGAAAGGTTTCTGCTTTTCACAAGAGGAGGTATTGGCAATCCCCTTCATTCGGAGGGGAAGTGACTGATATGTATCCAGTGGTGAGCTACAGGCTGTCTATGCTGTCTCCTAATGCTCAGTCCTATTTTCATATTGATATTTGTGGGGTTTTTAAAAGATTTTATTTATTTATTCATAGAGACACACACACACACACACACACAGAGAGAGAGAGAGAGAGAGAGAGAGAGAGAGAGGCAGAGACACAGGCAGAGGGAGAAGCAGGCTCCATGTAGGGAGCCCGACATGGGATTCGATTCCAGGTCCCCAGGATCACACCCCAGGCTGCAGGTGGCGCTAAACCGCTGCACCACCTGGGCTGCCCTCATATTGATATTTGAACGGCCTTTGAGATATAGGTGTTGTGACTGGACTTGTATCAGTTTCCCTAGAGCTATTTTAGATGAAAATATGCATTTTAAAAACAGTCATAAATAATCTCCTGAATCACTTGGTTTATACTCTATTTCAGTGACTGTTGCTTTTCCCCTGCCTTCTGGAATCTTACTGGCATTAGCTTCTGGGGAAAGAGAAGCAATCATCAGCTTATTGTTGCTCCTGAACAAGTCCTTCTAGTTGGTGAGAGACAGTAAGATCCTGGACACTCAGATGGATTGAGTCTTAGGCTTCTTTCACTCTGCATTTCTCAGTTTTCGAAATTAAAGCTGGCATGTGATTTTTGTCCTGGTAGTCTTAAAACTTTTTAGCTGTGTGGAAATATTTTTATAATGCTGATACAATGAACATGTTGGGTTTGCCAATCTCTGCAGTTTGGCTATTTCTTTTACTCATTCCTATGTGTTTCAAGACGACACTGAAAGGCCATTGAGGGTGGTCTCCTTGGAGGTATCTTACTGTAGTACCATTTCCATCACTCTTTCTTTCCCTTTCCAAGGTGAACCCCAGACCTTGGCCTCTCCCAAGGCACTAGCGATGGCTTCCTGGCGGAAGAGTGAGGATGCAGAGCCTTCTTGCTCTTTCCTGTACATCTAGGAGAGGGTAGTGATGAAGAACTTTGCAGGAGGGGCTGGGAGGAGGGCAAGAAAAAATACCTGAATCCTACCCTCTAATTTCTGCCTGCTCAGAATAAATAGACCTTAGAAAGTTTTTAAAAACAAATAAATATTGTTGTCGCTTTAACTCAGGAGGGCTTTTCATTTCAATCAGAAATCCTCCCTCAGGCCTAAAAAATAGTTTAAAGTACAACACACTAAGTAAGTACTTAGTGTACTTCACTACTTCACAACGCCTACCAAGTAAGCAGTCAGAAATGATCCATAACCATAGAGAAATTGAGCCAAATCCATTCCTTGTTTGACTGTGGAGGCGCTGATGTTGTTGATTCCTCGTTGTGGTTATGTAGCTGTTGAAAACCACAAAGTGAGCTTGCTCCATTATAGCCTCATTTGGGTGTACTCATATTTTTCTCTTGTGTTTGTTGCAGGGAGAATGGTGGATTTTCCAGGATACAGTCTGTCAGGTGCAGTTGCCTCTTTCTTCCTTGTACTGCTCACCATGAGACAGCCAGGTAGAATCAGCCAGTCTTCTCTTTACTGTATACCTTGATGCCCCAGCAATACAGTCCACATGCAGAGTTCCAGATCAAAAGGGATAGGACAATATTGGACCGAGTGTCCAAGAACCAAAGCATCTGTGTTCCAGAGGGTCCTCAACTTCCAGCTGTGTTACCTTTGAAAAGTTACTTGAGTGCCTTCTGCCTTAGTTTCCTCATCTTTGCAATAAGAATAACAACGTACCTATGTCTTATAGGCTAGGACAGGCTTTAGAATTAAATGAGGCTGCACATGAAGTAGTATTTAGAACACATTAAGTTTTTCATCTATTTTTCTGTGTCCGTGCAGGACAGCACTTTGGGAACAAGAAAAATGTCTGCTTCTTACCATCAATTAGCAGCATAAAAATACTTGAAAACAAGAAATTAGAAATTTCCATTTCTTGGAAATCTCACTGGCTGAATTGTACCTTATAAAAAGATTATGAAAATTCAGTGTCAGAGGGAAATATCAGAGTCCCCAGAAAAGTACAGCAAAGCAGAAGTGGAAAAAACAGTGGACAGGGGACCAGAAGTGCAGGCTCCAGACTGAGGGCTGCCAGAAGTTATGTGATGTGGCATGAGGCTGTCCTGCCCTCTGTGTAAATCAATTTCCTAACCTGCAAAAGAAGTTAATCAGATGGATTAGCTTCAGATTTAGCTTCGTATTTAGATTCCATAAATGAAGAATGCAAGTGGGCCTCTCCTAAGTTCTATACTGAGCTGTTGACCGACATCAGTTTGATATTGATCGGCAAGGGAGCAAGTTGAGGTTCCTTCTTGGGATGATTGGATGTGGCAGAGCAAGTACAAGTGGCCCTGGAACATTTTAGGAAGAGAAAGAATATAATATATATGACTTATGAGATTATTAAACATCATAACACCTGGATTATTAAATATCCCTTCAATTTGCAGATAATGACAAAAAGGTCAAGCATGACTCAAAATTTTATTAAAAGGCACAGATTCTCTAGACAAACTGCTGTCTTTAATCCATCACAAAAAAAAATCTTCGCAAAAACAGCATTGTACATATAAAGCTCCAGTAACCGGAGTCTTGCCTACTCCAGACCAAAAATCTTTTTTGTTTTTATACCTTATCTTATTTTATTCAAATACCAGTCTGATCACACATGGTCCAAGAACACTCAAATAATAAGCCACATAGAAAGAGATATTAAAGATTGGTCTTCAAACATTATAGCCAATGATGCCACACCTGCCCATGATCTCACTGACTTAAGACCACATTCACACGTCGGTGGCCACCAAACCATTCAGCAGAGCTTCCTTAACTGTGAGCTGTTTGAAGCTACCAGTTTGAGCACTCTTGACTATTTTTTTCAAGCTCTGAATAGCTGTAGGGATCTCAGCAGGGGTTAGAGGAACCAGCTCAACCCTGGCATAGTGCCAAAATGTGGCCAATCGAGGCTTCCAGTAAGTCACAGCAGCATTCACCAGCACCGGAGCCTTCTCCGCTAGGTTATGGGATGAACTGGGCCATGATTCCAGGATGGAAGTTCTGTCGCCCTGGACCCAAAAATCTTTTTAAGTTAAAAAGTAATCCCAGTTTCTTAACTAAAACTTTACTCCTGAAAAGCTGAAAAATCGAACAAATTTATTTTAGGAAAAATGATTATGAAATCAGTCACTAACAATATAAAGTGAAATCATTAATTATAAAATAAATTACTATAAAATATAAAACACGAACAAAGTTCTCAATGTAAAAAAAAATCAATTTACACATTAACTTCTTTGAAAATAAAAACAACCTAGAGATGGTGGCTTTGGTACCTTAAAGATGAAGAAATTGAGATTCCAAATCTCAGATCTCACTGAAAATAATGGGTTTGTCCCCCCAAATCACACAGCTGGTGACAGATTTAGCACTAACACTCAAATTTTTGAACTGCATGCTATTTTCAGTACACAAAATTGTCTTTTTTAACAGCCAAATGTGCAAAGCATTGTGCTAGATTTCTCTAAATCACTGAAAATAAAGCCCTCCCTCCTCCAGATGCCTCCATTTTGATAGATTGGACATCCGAAAGCAAGCATATTAGTCTTCCAATTGGCATTTTCTGGTACCTCTTTTTCACTCTGTTTTGTAGAAAACTGGAGAGTGATTGGTCCTACACATCCTATCCTGGCCAGGATTGGGGAAGATGCCCTACTAACCTGTCAGCTCCTCCCCAAGAGGACCGCAATGCACATGAAGGTGACCTGGTACCGCTCAGAGCCCAGCACACCTGTGTTTGCACACTGGGATGGAGCTGATGTGACCGAGATGCAGATGGAGGAGTACAGAGGCCGGGTAGAGGTGATAAAGGATGGCATTCTTGAGGGAAAAGTGACTCTGAAGATAAACAATATCCAGCCATCCGATAATGGGGAATACTGGTGCTGTATCCAAGAGAATAACTATTGTCAAGAAACAAGCTTGCTGCTTAAAGTTACAGGTGAATATCTTGGAAAAGACATAGAGTCTTGGAGGGAGAAGTATATTAATTTGTGGTAACCTTATGGCAATGAACTGAAAAATACGTTGAAAAATTCCCTTTCAATCCTCCAGGTAATTCCTAATGACCAGTCCTCTGTCCTGATTCCTTTGAAGGCAAGTGATTCTGAAGTCTTCAAAGCAAGCTCACTTATAAACAATCTTCTCGAATTTAACTTACACAGTATTGACTATTCTGACTATTCTTGACCACTAATTGCAATCCATGACATCTGGTCATTAGCAATTTTACTGAGGCACAAATTTGTGCTGTATCAGGCTGGTGTGTTAGGGCAGGTCAATCATAGAGTGAGTGAGTCTAGCTAACTGCCCAGCAACCATATCTCAGTGGAATGCATTGTTATCTACCCACCCTCCAATATGCAGTAACTAAATGGGAAAATTGTCTTTCTTTGTGGAATGCTCCCAGTTAGAAAGCTAATGCTGGGAACAAAGAGGTTAAGAACTTTATGTTTTTATTGAGATGCAATTGGACATCCCCACTGTGAATGACAGGCTTTCGTCTGATGTTTTTGTATTAGCTAAGAAAAAGGGGATGACTTACAAAACTATTTGTCCTAGGGGAAAAACACGTATCTGAAAAGTAAATAATCATATGGTTCCCTGGCAAGAATAATTCCCCCACATGCTAAAGAGAAAAACAGGCAAATCTATTTATCTTCTCAGGGAAATAGTTCTCTAGAGATATTACCATCTCTGACTCAGACTAAGGCTGCTTCCTAACACCGTTTTTTCTTAACACCCATGATTATTATTGTTATGTTCTAGGTGATTGAAGATGGATGGAAGAATCTATGTATTTCTGAGGTGTGGAGAGAGGAAAGCAGCTGTTCACTATCAGGAACCTTTGAAAATAAACCACACATTTTCTAAGGCTGTAGATGAAGGGAGTGAGTCTCTTTCCCTCAGCAAGTGATAGAGTTATCATCTATGGGAAATATAGTCCCTTTGTTTGGGTTTGAGAGCGATTTTGAATAAGGAAAGAATTTCATGATTACATAAAACTAGGATTTCTCAAGAACATTTTCCCATTGATTGTAAGGAATATTTAGAAACCAAGGCTCCTCAAGGGCATCTCATTCTACATGCCCAGGTTATCTGCTTCCTCCCTAAGATCACAACCACCAACAGAAAAAAGTGAAGAGTAATCCCCATTGAGATGATTTCTAGCTTTATAGTAAATATTCTAATTAATCAGAGTCAAGATATCATCTAAAATGCCAGACAGAGTTTGTAGCATGGGAAAGTTCAATGAATAAATTTATAACACATCTAAGGTTGGCAGTTCTAGTGACCTAAGCAAAATGTCATTATGTCCCTTTCTCTTGTTCTCCTCCTGTCTGGATCTGAAGAAAAATACTGTTCATATGCTAAAGTTTAAAGATCCAGAATGGGGAACAAGCAAAGTGTATATGAAATCCAATTTGAATGGGAAGAAGACCTTTGGATGACTTGTTCTCTGGACCCATGAACTCCTACCCTCTCCCTATGAGCGATTTCACTGGGATCTTAGTTTCTGTGATTTGTGCTTCCATGGTCTCCAGGCCTCAGGGCTGTGTCTTTCCTATACAGGTCTGGGGTCTGCCCCTTACATCCACATGGAGGCACCTGTTGAAAGTAGAATCCAACTTGTGTGCACTGCAAAAGGCTGGTTCCCAGAACCTCAGGTTTATTGGGAAGATATCACAGGAGAGAAGTTGCTGGCTGCTTCTGAGCATTTAATCCAATATGAAAATGGCCTGTTCTATGTGGAAGCCACTCTTGTGGTCAGGAATGACTCTGTGGAGAATGTGTCCTGTCTCATCCACAACCCCATCCTCAATGAGAAGAAGAGCTCAGTCATCTCCATTCCAGGTCAGAGCTCTGTCTCTAGGACCAGTGTATTCAGATTAGCAGGAAAGTCTCAAAGGACAGTTCCATAGCACCTAATATTTTTTTATCAAGGAAAATATCTATAATTTAGTAATATGTATTAAAAAGTATAAACTATTTATGACTGGAAATATATACTATATTTTTATTAAATAGTGATGGTTAATTTGTTTAGTTATTTTCAAATTCCACCTTTTCTTCTTTCTGAATTAATTTTCTTTACTCACAAATATACATTACATGATAAAGAGAATAAAACGATATTCTTTCAATTAAAATGCTTTCCTGTACCACATTGTGCCAATTACTTTTAAGAACCTGTCATGTGAAGATAATCAGAGATGGAGACAGCTATTAAATAATAGTATCTTACTTATAGCCTCATTTATAAATAGCAATAAAACAACAGTTAAAAAGGCACAATACAACAGTGGAGTGTTAAGTATCTTATGTGACTATAAATTATAGCATTGATGAAACATGCTATTTTCAAATGATTTTAATGGTTGAAAAAATCCTCATGACTGACTATTTATATAAAGATTACATCTATCTACTACCTATCTACCCACCTATGTATCTATCTATAAACATTTTCCAATCACATAAGGAATAATGGCTTTAAATAACTTAAAACTGCACTAAGACTTTTGGTATATCTTCTATATTTAGATATAGAGATTTAGTTATTCTTACTTATATAAATGGATATATTAAATAATTTAAAGAAAACATCACATGTGAATGTTAAAAGCAGCTGAATATATATTATATAAATGCTTTATATATGTTTTGTCTCTCAATTTGGAATTATAGGTGATAATTATCTATGTCCATATATTTTTATAGCTTTTATGCACTTATAAGAATATGTATCAGTTTGACAAGATATTAAATATCAATATGTTAAATATCAGCAGAAATAAACTATGGTGGGGTAGTAGAACCGAGAGGCTTTTATTGGAAATAAAAGGAAAAACAGCTGGATCACTAGGTGATCCATGGGAAGGAATATTTTTCTGTGTTTAATTTCTTCTTTATGAGGGCACCTGGGTGGCTCAGTGATTGAGCCTCTGCTGTTGGCTCAGGTCGTGATCCTGGGGTCCTGGGATTGATTCTTGTATCAGGCTTCCTGCAGGGAGCCTGCTTCTCCCTCTGCCTATGTCTCTGCCTCTGTGTCTCTCATGAATAAATAAATAAAATCTTTAAAAAATTTTTTTATGAATTGAGCTTTTCAATAAAATTTAGAACTTTTTTTCTTTTTAAATATTTTCTCTCCTTTCCCTTAGATCAAATTCCTTAATATATTATTCTTGTTTTTTTTTTCCAGAGAAATTCCAGAATGAGCTAGGTAAGTAGATATTGGATGTGCTAGTATAGAGGAGACCCTGCTTGCCCCAAAGGGAAGCAATAACCTCAGTCAAAGCCAGTGGGAGCTACCATGACAACTTGTGATCCAGAAGAGAAACTGAGGCATGACTTTACCAAGTCAAGTTCAGTTAGTATCAGAGGGGACTGACAAAACACAGGCCTCCACAGGCTCCCTCAGGTACCTTTGCACTTCATGACTAAGTGTTCACGGGGACCCCAGTAAGCCTCAGATGGACACCTATAAAGGGCACAGACATAATCATTGCTCTATTTGGCTGGAGGAAAGGGTGCTACCTGTGTGTGTAAGGGATTGTATAGGACAGACTGTGGGACTCTGGGAGCCCTTTTAAAATCTTTCTAGTGTGAAGGCAGTGTCATCATGGTAACTAGAGTTCCCCACCTGTCACCTCAACCCTCTGGCCCTGCTGTGGTTTCTGCACACCCCAGTGGATCCAAACCTCATCACTACTGGGAGGGAGCCATAACTTTCCCAGATGTAGCCTGGAACACTGCCTGAGGCAATCAATCATTTTCCTGTCTTTCTTTTTCTTTCTTTACTTAACAGTTGGACTGCAGTATTACTTTACTGTACCTAAGGTAAAGATAAGTGGTTTAAAAAGTAACCAACTGATATTTGAGCCTCTTTCAGTTTCTCCTTTGCCTCCTTACCACTTCCTCCTTTCTGTGACCTCTTCTCCCAGCCCATGATAACCAGCCTGTTTCCTGCCCAGATACATATGACCTTGTATCACTTGTTTTCCACTAATCTCCTGCTCTCCCTCAACTCACTGGTTACAGAAATGTGTGTGTGCGCATATACCTATGTGCACATTAGGTGAGCTTGAGCATACTCTTCAGCCCAAGTAGAAAGTTTTGAGGAAAATCAGGGTGGCAAACACACCCCAATCTCTGCCAGAGTTCTAGTGTGACACTTTCAACCCCATTAGGCCATAAAGATAAAGAGAAGGGCCTCAGGAGGGTCAAAGGTAATTCCACAATCCATGGACAGCTGCACCCTGGTAAGCTGTACCTTCCAAGTCAGATCCCCTGTTGCCTGGGCAGCATCTGCTTATAATAAGACAGAAACCTTGACCAGAAGAACTTGTTAGTTACAGACCAGAATGTCGAGCCAGTGTTTGGGGCAGGTGGACACATGGCTCTGTCCCTCAGGAAGACTTTAGGTGAAGAGTCACTCTGAGTTATTTGAACCAATTTGGCAGGTCCATCGGAGACCCAGCATGCTAAGTACAATCTGATGTTGTGTTGTTCCTAGTTGTGCTGACCTTCTGGGAGCACAGTAAAACACGATGAAAATATGGAGCTCCCCCTGGCTCCCTGTTGGGTGGGGGATACGGGGCTGCGCCCTCAGGAGCTTTGAGGGCTGTTGATTGAGGACACCGGGAGCTTCACAGATACCACTGTGTTAATCCATGAATTAGAACTCAAACACAAGGTCCCACTGCAGGTGGCTGCTGGCAGACTAAGCCTGCTGTAGAAGTCCCACTATGGCAAATAATCTCTTTTTAAATTTAAATTTTAGTTAGTTAACATACAGTGCAATATTGATTTCTGGAGTAGAATTCAGTGATTCATCACTTATATCCAATACCCAGTGCTCATCACAAAAAATGCTTTCCTACATACCTATCACTCATCTATCCCATCCCCCACTCATCTCTATCAAATAATCTTATTATAAAAATAATGACTCATTTAAAAATATTAATTATATGCCTGGTGTGATGCTAAATGCTTTTCAGAGATTATTTCTTTTTCTAAACAATAATTATTTTTTTATTTTTTTGTTTTTATTTTCTTAATTTAAATTCAGTTTGCCAAAATATAACACCCAGTGCTCATCTCATCATGTGCCCTCCTTCATGCCCATCACCTAGCTACCTCATCTTGCCACCCACCGCCCCTTCAGCAAACCTCAGTTTGTTTCTCAGAGTTAAGAGTCTCTCATGGTTCATCTTCCTTTCTAATTTTTCCCCACTTAGTTTCCCTCCTTTCCCTTATAGTCCCTTTCACTATTTCTTACATTACACGTGTGAGTGAAACCATATGATAATTGTCTTTCTCCAATTAACTTATTTTACTCAACATTATATTCTCCAGTTCCATCTACGTCAAAGCAAATGGTAAGTGTTCATCCTTTCTGATGCCTGAGTAATATTCCATAGTGTGTGTGTGTGTGTGTGTGTGTGTGTGTGTATGTGTATCACATCTTCTTTATCCATTCATCTGTCGAAGGGCGTCATGCCTCCTTCCACGGTTAGGCTATTGTGGACATTACTGCTATGAACATTGGGGTGTAGATGTTCCAGAGTTTCACTACATCTATATCTTTGGAGTAAATACTCAGTAGTGCAATTGCTGAGTCATAGAGTAGTTCTATTTTTAACTTCTTGAGGAACCTCCATGTTTAATTTAATCTCTGATGTAGTGTCAGGCTCTAAAACTCTGGATATGATATGATATGATATAATTAATATTATATAATATAAAAATATAGCATATTGAGGAAATGAGATAGCCATCTTAATTGAATATGCTGTTTGAAAGTGGATTATATGACATGATGATGAGATTATCAGGTTTCAAAGAATTGGTATATTATTCAGTAAACTGCACACTCCAGAAAGGATTTAATTTTCAGTGAATATTTCAGTAACATTCAGGGCACTTCAGTAACATACATATAATACCCCCCAAATAAAACAAAACAATAAATGTGAGCACAAACTGTGTGGAAGGCTATGGATAAAAGTATCTAAAGAAGATTATTCAGAGCTTATCTCAAGGAGCTTGTATTCTAGTAGAATATCAATTTTTAGCAGATTGAGTTGCATGATTTTTTTCCTGTACCTTAAACTTTATTTTCTACTTGGATTCTGAAATAACAGGAGTTTCATATATCTATAATGCATCTACTTATATGGGTGATGGAGATTAGGAAATTGTCTATTTTACTAAGTAATTTACTGTAAAATATATGGAAGGATAAATAGCAGCAGACTAATCCCTAGTTGAATTTTTTCTGAATCCTACTTTCATCTTCAGATTTTAATGGATACATTTGCAATGGAGATATTGTTTTATGTAAAATTGAAAGATAAAGCAAACAAAATGCTGGAGATAGTTGGGAGTCAAATTTTAGCTAGAATAGAAGGGAATAATCTGAAAATTAAGATTGTGTAAGTTTTCTTTCTAAAGAAGTACCTAGCAGATTTTATCTAATTACATTTTGTCTTTGGTCATTGACTCCCATGTAACAATATACAAATTTATGCCCATATACCTATTAGAAATTATCATAACCTATGTGAAAGCATTTTTATCATTTGATAGATAAGGATGACTCTCAATTTAGAACAGAGAAAAACTAGTATGGCCAGAGACTGATGAACTGGAAGAGTAACATAGTTTGGGGTCCAGGAAAGACATCAGAGAAAATCTCCAATTTTCACAATGGGAGTATTAGACTTTTTATGTATTCATTATTGTCTTGTGTTTTGTATTTTGGCAACATCTCGAGTTCTTGCTCTTACAATGTTTCTCAAAATAATCTAAGCACATTGAACCTGGTGTATGTTGAGAGCTCCACTTACGTGGGACTTCAGGGAACTAAAATATGGTAGTTGGGTCTGACTTATAAGGTATAAAAATCAAACCAGGGGAAGGTTTCTTCATATTTCATTACTAAAAATCCACCTGAAACTCATCATCATCCCTTCTTTTTATCAAGGCAATGGGATTGGTTTCTGTGCCTTCATGTCTCACGGTCTGCATGCCTTCACTCACACTGTATAGTCACCCAAAAGTTTTATATAGATTATTTTGTTTAACTCAGAACAATCTTATGATTTTGATGGTAATGTATTTATTTCACAGTTTAAGAAATTGAGGTATACACAGATTGAGAAGTAGTTTAAGGTGGTCATACAGATATGAAGTGATAAAATGTTAATTATTCTAGGAGTATTAACTGCAAAATTATTTTATTGGGTTGTAATCTGAATAAAATAGGTAGAGGCAGGTGTGGGTTCTATTAATAGTTCCTTTTTTCAGGGACAAGGTCTATCCTGATTCCCCTGAAACCTCCCTCTCTCTGCAGGATGACTTGGTGCCTCACAGCTCCCTGGGTTGCTCATGAGTCTAAACCCCACTGGAGATGTTCTTACTGATGACACTATTTACTCCATGTTGTGTCTTTATTGTGTTTTGTCTATTGTATCTCATAGCTTCCTTAAAAGTGATTGGACCTTCCCAGCCCATTCTTGTCAGAGTGGGAGAAGACATACAATTAACCTGTTATCTGTCCCCTGAGACTAATGCACAAAGCATGGAGGTGAGGTGGATCCAATCACACCGTTATCCTGCTGTTTATGTGTATGCGGATGGGGAACACGTGACTGAAGAGCAGATGTCAGAATATAGAGGAAGGACAGTGTTGGTGAATGATGCCGCTGAGGAGGGGAGACTGACTCTGCAGATACACAATGCTACAGTGTCAGATAATGGGCAATACCGGTGCCTTTTTGAAAAAGATGGTGTCTATCAGGAGGCCAGTTTTGATCTAAAGGTAGTAGGTAAGGATTCCAGATATTTTGGATTCAACCTCTGTTCCTACTGCTTTAACATGCTAGTTCTTGGAAATTTCCCCTGGCACTTGAAATTTTTGGAATGTCCATTCGCTTGTCAAATTTATATGCATAGGAACTGTAGTACATACTTAAAGTTCAGTACTTAATGGGCTTAAATGGGCCAGATTTAATTCTCTGGGTGTAGAACTTGTACACTCCCCCCAGATCTCTGTAAAATGACCATACAATTAGTGAAATTTGAGAATTTTACTCCCGAACTTTACACAGAACTCATTATTTCACAGGGTGTTCTTAAAATTCTGCACAATGAAAAAAAATTCTGGACAATGTATATAGTTACTAGGAAGAATAATTATGTGAAGACTAGACCACATTCACATACAAGCAAAAATAATAAGTATCAACAGAAGTGGCAGGATGGAAGAAGAAAGACAAAATTGCTCCCTGCATCATAATCCCCCCCGTTTATATTTGTGAATAAGAGTTGACTTTTCAAGGTTAGCAAATAAGGCCAACATCTTGCATAATTGATTTGTTTCTCCCACTGATTTTGGGTCTCAATTATAAACATATTCATGAAATATCCACAGGGGCACATGTTGAGAAGTTAAATGGACTCTATCATTTTTTGCCGCTGGATGCACATATTTATAAAGTCTGGATATTTGAGAATATTCTTTTACTCACTTTGTTTCATCCTATCCATGTGATTCATGTCTTGGTCAAAGCTATTTTGTTTTCAGATACAGAAAAGAAAAGATTGGATTTAAAATTTATTGTTCCTCTGACTCTGAGGATGACTTTAGGAACACACAAAAAAATAAACATAAAAATAAATGAACATAACAAACCTAGAAACAACTCCAGCTAGTCTCATCCCTAAGTGGAGTTTAATTCCCCTATAAGCTTTGTTCTCTCAACCAAGCCTTTGAATCCCCCTCTTTCTTCTCAGTGAAGTTACTGACTATATAACCACTTATTAGACACTCTAGGTTTTGTTCCTTGATCTCCACTCCGCAGGTCTGGGTTCTTCTCCGCAGATCACCATAAAAGAACAAAAGGATGGAGAAATAGAGCTGATATGCAGTTCAGAAGGGTGGTTCCCAGAGCCCCATGTAAAGTGGAAGGACATGGAAGGAAAGATAATACCAGCATTTTCAGAGGTTATGACTGAAGGCAGCCATGGGCTTTTCCATGTGGAGACATCTCTATTGGTCACGAATAGCTCTATTGTGAATGTAACTTGTACCATTAGCAACCCCCATCTTGACGAGGAGAAAATGGCAAGTTTTTCTCTCTCAGGTTGGTGATTCCATGTGTTTCTCTCAACTTTGGGAAATATATATGAAGACAAACCCAAACTTACTTATTTTATTGCTCTACTATTCTTAAATTTTTATTTTCTTCTCTCTGATAAAACCATCTGCTATCTCTTACAAAACTGATCATCAGGACACCTGGAGATCCTACTGACCTCCTTTGACTTGACTAAAGCCCTCAGGTTTTATTGTTGCACATACACTAACTTCTAAGAATTGACTCTATCATCACTGTAAGGATAAACTCTCTTCTTCTGATATGAAGCCAATATCACTTTGGGTTTTTTTTTCTTTATTGTGAATTGTCTTCAGGATTAAAAACTTGTTTTTCTTAATACCATCTTCATGCTTATGGATTAAATAATTTTATCCTTTTGCTATTCTTGTCATTCCAGTGATGATGGTGATATAATTGGAAAAGAGAAGGGAAAAAAATGTGTGTGTATTTGTATGTGTGTGTATTTCTTACAGGAGCAAAGGGTAAAGCTAGCATAAACCTTGTGTCCTTCCTCAGCTTTTGCAGAGTAGGGAAGGACAGATCAGCTTCCTTCTTGAGAGATCCACTTCTCACCCTCCTCTCTAACTCAGGAGCTGCTTAGATAAAAAGAACGATCTTGGAATTTTTCCAGTTTCATGACTTAATGGGATTCTGGGTTTTCCATTTTAGAACCCATGATGAATTTTTCATGGAAGATAGTGCTTATTTTGGTATTACTTCTTGCTGCACTTGTGGGCCTGGTCAAGAGAAAAAGCTGTAAAAAAGGTAAGTTAGATAAATAGTCAAGTATGGAGTACCTTTTGTAGGAGCAGCCTTGCTGTGCACTTTCCCTAACTTCTCTTTTCAGCAGTCACATAGGAGAGGAATTCAGTGAACATTCAACAATTAATGAAACATGAGAGTCCATGGCTTACATTCAAGGAGGATCAGTGCTGAATGATATCAGAATTTACAGTGATAATAGAAGCAAAAGGATTAAAAGACAATAATTTGATCCCTCAGTTAACATTTCCAAGTTACCTAGTTAAGGGAGAAGAAAAAAGTAGCATAGCCATCCATTCTTTAAAGGCTGAGAGTTGAGACTCGACTGAGATTCTGTTGGTATGAATATTTCACTAAGATCTTTAAAAATATGGTAACTTGCTTATTGAGGATTCTTGCTCTGTGGATGAAGAACTTCTATGTGTGATAGGTTGTTTTGTGTGCCCTATAAAGTTCCTTCACTTCAAATTTCTTATGTCACTGTAACTTTGGTTTGCTTGTTTGGATGTTGGTATCATGGAATATATTTAAAATACTCCCCACATTGGTTATTATCAGAATGGATTTTCTTTCTCTACAGCAAATATGACATTGTATCTAAATACCACTCACTCAGGACTGATCTTTTCTGAGGGATACAAGCATGTGACCCATGAACATCCATGTAGTCATACATCCTACAGAGATTTGACAGCTTGCTCAATGTGCCAGGCCAAGTAGGGTTCATGTCAGGGAGATGGTACTGAGAAATGGAGGTTGGGGACAAGACAGTATGGGTCTCAGGTATTGCCAAGGACTATATAAGGAGGGAGGGAGTCATCCCTGTCATATGAGAATGTGTTCAGACAATGAGTTGTTATAGAAACCGGTACTGGGCCATTACCTTTCCTCCACGCATCCTCTCCATAAAAATGGCTCTAAGAAGGGTCAAAATCTTCCTTGACTAGTCTCTGGACACCTTTCCTTTTATAACATGACCAACAAGTGTTCTGTCTACACTTTTCTTTTCTGAAACTCTATACATCTTCATTTTTTGATCCTTAATGTAGGTTCTCCTGACAACTTTCCTACACCCAGGAGAGTTTGCAACATCTCCAAGGGAAAAAAATAACCTTGGATTCTGGAAACAAAGCCTGTATTCCAAGTCCCAGTCTTCTTCTTTTACCAGCTGCTTGAACGGGCTCACACCATAATCCAGCTATCAAATCAAGATGCTTTAATGTTACTCTGGCTTCAAATCTGATCTAGAGACTGATCCCTTCAGAGAAATATCCTATCCCAAGCTCTCTGATAGCCTGCCACTAATCACAACCTGATATGTGACGATCAAAGACTCTTAGAAAATCCAATGGGAAATGTAATTAGGCCTAGACTGATAGGTTTCTTTATGAAGCTGATAATTTTCCAAGTGGGTATGAGGAAGTGAAAAATACAGGTAAAAAAGAGTAAAAGAAAATAAAGCTGAATAGAAGGAGGAAATCTGATCACTGAGATATAATCTTGAATATCATATGAAATGTAGAATTCCTACGCCAGACTTTTTCAGAAAGTGGAGACTTGGAGTGGAAATATTTTTAGAAATTATATTCCAAGACAAATACCATATGATTTTATTTATATGTGGACTATAAAAGCAAACCAAATGAATAAACAAACAAAAAGCAGAATCAGACTATAAATACAGAGAACAAATTGATAGTAGCCAGAAGGGATGGAGTACGGGTGTGGGCAAAATGGGTGAAAGGGAGCAGGATGTACAGGCTTCTAGTTATGGAATGAATAAGTCACAAGAATAAAATGTACAGCTTAGGGAATATAGTCAATAATATTATAACAGTGTTGTATGGTGACAGATGGTAGCTACACTTGTGAGCACTATATAATGTTTAGACTTGTCGAATTACTATGTTGTACACCTGAAACTAATGTAACATTGTGTGTTGACCTAAATAAAAAAAAATTTAAGGAAAAAGAAATTCTAGTCCAAGAAGAAAATTAATTTCTTTTCATTGTATCTATATGAGATGATAGATATTAACTAAATCTGTTGTGGTAATCCATTCACAATATTTGCAACTTGAGCCATCATGCTGCACACCTTAAATTAATATAGAGATATATGTCAATTATTTTGCAATAAAACTGGAAAAAAGAGAAAATTTTGTATTGTGTATATGAAGATGCCAATTTTATTTTTAGAGCAAAAAAGTGCACAATTAAAATTAATAATTATAAAATAAATAAGCATAAGCAATAAATACAACACATAGTAAGAATATTTTAAAGCCATAATGAATTAAGGAAGAGAAACTGTAGAAGAAGAAAGAATATGGAAAAGAAAGACTTGGAAAAGTCTTGAAATCTTGTCTCAAGTGAGAATTAGGAATTCCTATTAATGACACTGCTGCTTTCTAGGAGGTAGCCATGATAGTCATTACTGTCCTTTGAAAATCACTCATCTATCACACCCTGTAGTGTCTCTTTTGGTTCACTGCATTTTTTTCCTATTTTTTAAACTCATATGTTTATGTTTGAAACTATATTCTCCTACGTTTCTTTGACTTAGTTTTAAAAATTTTTCAGTAGTGAAATATATATAACATAAAACTCATCATTTTAAAGTATACAATTCAGTGGTATATATACCTTCACAATAGTGTGCAACCATCATCAGCATCCAGTTCCAGAATATTACTCCAGAAGAAAACTCCAAACTATTAAGCAGTCACTACCCATTTTTCTCTTCTCCCCTGACCCTGGCAACCATTAATCTATTTTTTGTCTCTATGAATTTACTTATACCAGTTATTTCATATAAATAGAACATAAAATATATGGATTTTCTGTGTCTGGCTTTTCTTTTAACTTAATATTTTTAAGGTTCATCCATGTTGTACCATGTACTGTACTTTATTCCTTTTTTAATTAACAATTTTTATTTTTTAGGAGCTGTTTTGGGTTTATTGAAAATTTTAGTGAAATATCCAGAGCATTTCCATATCCCTCCTCTCTCTCCCCATAATTTCCTATTTACACCTTGCCTTGGTATGGTACATTTATTCCAACAGATGAACCAATACTGATGCATTATTTTCAACTATAATCTCTGTATAGGGTCCATATTAAGGTTCACTTTTTGTGTGTACATTCTGTGAGGTTTGACAAATGATTTACCACTTTTGGTACATTAATACACCCTTATATATCCTTTATATTTTTTAAGTCAAATTTATTAGTAAATGTGTTGACTTTGCCTTAAAATATTTTTTTCTTAAAATATTTTTAATGTTATTCTATTTTGATTTAATGAACTAAAAATGTTTTATTTGATAAAATCTAAAGGTTAACTACCTCCCCTCTTTTTTGTCTTCCTTCATGATCACTCTAACTTTTTGCATGTTAGTTTTATGTGCTTGTGTAGGCCCAATATATAAATATATAGGTTTTCCCTAGGAAGGTCTCAAAAAAATTGTGTTTATCAGTAAAATCCTTTCACTATGTATTAAGAAATATGTTTTTCTTTAGCTCACCAAATAGGGGATTATTTTAATTTCTCAGTTCCAATGTCAATTAGAAAAACCTTGGGGGGGGGAGGGCCTGGGTGGCTCAGCGGTTTGGTGCCTGCCTTTGACCCAGGGCGTGATCCTGGGGTCCCAGGATCGAGTCCCACGTCAGGCTCCCTGCATGGAACCTGCTTGTCCCTCTGCCTATGTCTCTGCCTCTCTGTGTGTCTCTCATGAATAAATAAATAAAATCATAAAAAAAAAAAGAAAAACCATGAGGAAAGAGAATGTTGGTGGCTTGATCAAGACACTCCAATCACTGATGCAGTCACTATGCCTGATGGATGAGTGACTGGATTGGCCCATCAAGGATCCAGCTCCCTGTCACTCCTAATGCATAGGGAGCTGGTTGCAGTCATGCAAAGCATGGTGACTCTCAGAAGAGATGTATAGATTGGATGCAGCTCAGTTTAAAGGAAAGGACTAGAGGAAACCAGAGACCAAATTTGTTAACCTCTCTGCAGAACTTTTTCCCCATTGTTAGTAGACATTAAGTTCCATTAGGGCAGTGATATTTTTGTGTGTGTGTATCATCACAAAGTAGAAGAGTGACATATATTAGTTGATCAATAAACATTTATGAAATAGAGGAATAGATTCATAAATAGGATATTTATTTAATATTTTATCTTTAGAGTACACTGTGCTGGACTGTAGAGATCAAATGCATAGCAAGGCATAATTCCTGCTCTAATATAGTTCTTTATTCCAGTAAAGTCTTTCTCTTTGTTTTTTGAATATCTTATTATTCCCTTATAGAGCTTACTCAGAATGGGATTGCCAGAGCAGTCCAGCAGTAAATATTTAATTAATGGAGTCAAGTGGTGAGTTCATGGTCACTACTTTGTCAGGAACTGTGAGCTACTTGGAGACCCTTCATTGCTTGTTGATTTACCCATCCTTAGAGATAAGGATATGATGGATGATGTTATCCCTGGTATTTCTACAACTATGATTCCAATAGAACATCAATCTTAATATTTTATTTCATTGCCCACCTCTAGCTTTTGATCTCCAGTCTCGAAGCTTAGAAGAACAAAACCCATTAAAATGAATGGAGGAGCAAGGGCACCTGGCTGGCTCAGTTGGAGAAGCCTGGGACTCTTGATCTCTGAGTCCTGACTTCAGGCCCAAAGTGGGCATAGAGCTTACTTAACAACAACAACAACAACATTTGAGAGTCAAGGAGCTGCCCCCAGGTCACCTGATCGTCAGTCTGCCTGATCAGTGTCTGCCACCATGGCACCATGGGAGTGCAGGTGAGACCATCTCCCCAGAGTTGGGCTCACCTTCCCCAAGCATAGTCAGACCTACATGGTGCATTACCTGGGGATACTTGAAGATGAAAAGAAATTTGATTCTTCCAAGAACAGAAACAAGCTCTATAGGTTTATGTTAGGCAGCAGGAGGTGATCTGAGGCTGGTTACCCATGTGAGTGTGGGTCAGAGAGCCAAACTGACTATATCCCCAGACTACATCTATGTGTGATGCAACCAAGAACCCAGTCATCATCCTACCAAATGCCACTCTCCTCTTTGACGTAGAGCTTCTGAAACTGGAATGACAAGAATGGCGTCCTTCCTGAGTTCCCCATTCGCTGTCCCTGGAGGAATCTGGTGCATCTAGACACATGCATGAATCCTGTGGAGGTTTTCCTGACTTTCCACTACACTCTTTGTATAAACATGACACTGACTGAATGTGTTCTGACACTCAGCTTTGCTCTTTCCCTTTCTCCTTTCTATGTGTCGACACTAAACTATATGCCAAAACCTTAAGTTTATCATATTATTTTGTTTTTGTTTTGGGGTGAAAGTTCAGTTTCAATCTTTTGGATCTAGGTTTCCACTTAAGTACTGGTAAGGTATTAACAGCACAAATAATGGGTTAACTTTAGGATAGAAATTGGTGATGGTGGAGGGGAGGAGGCAAGAATATTTTATTTTATTGGATGAAAATTTTATCTATTATATATTAAACATTTTTGCTGCTGCACAGCAAAGTCATAGCAAATTTGAGGTGCTGTTGAGGGCCAAATTATTCTCCAAGTTGAGGGATGTCCTTGGGTCTAATTAAAAGCTCTACTTGAAACTGAAGTGGAGAGGGGAAGAAGCTTTGCCTCTGCTGACTGTTCCCAGCCTCCCCTTAAACCCTATGCCTTTTGAAAGTAGATCATTCTCACTGAGATGTTGGATACTACAGGTATCTGTCCTCAGGCCAGCAGGACCCTCTGAAGCCTTCCTTGTGGCCTGATGTATTATTATTATTATTATTATTATTATTATTATCCACTCTGTGCTTTTTCTGATGGATATTTAGGAGACTTTTATAATCTCATAGGTATCCAAGTTTCACTTCCCAAATTTTAAGAACTTTAATTGAAAGTTTAAATTGAAGGTGCTATTTGTAGACACCCAATGAAAGCCCAGCCATCATGACAAATCCTTGAGTGTTGTCTTGAGAAAATGATGCTGGTCATCACAGCTTTAGCATCTCCTGGTTTTTGATGTTCAGCTTTCCCTGCTGAGTTCGGTTTTCTGGCTCTTTGTCCCCCTCTCACCTCTTTGCTGTCCTGTATAGTGATTGGTGAGTGATATTGCTGTCTATCTCACACCTCCCCACACTATATAAGTGCTTCAAGTTTTATAATTACAATAAAAGTGTTTATGCTGACTTTTCTAAAAAAATGAGTGGAGGAATGACAGGTGAAGGAATCTCATTGTAGAACAAAATATGGATTTAGTTTCTTCAGGTGAGATATTTAAAAGCTCATTTGGAAACTTCATGCTGATTGTTCTGAGTATGTAACAAAAGTAAAATATCCAAAATGGAACCCATTATCCTTTCTGTTCTATATCATTCCAATCCCATTTGTTCCTATTTTGTGGTTATCTCCATGTAAAGGGTTCTCATGTCCAGAAATCCCTTCTCATCCACTAAATCCATTTGATTATAGCTATTAACATTTGTCCACTATTCATTTATCTCTGTCTTGCCTTCATTTTTGCTTACTTGTTATATAACTCCTCCCTTTACTGTCTGTAAAGTTAATATTCTGGGCTCTGGTTTCATTCTCCCTAGGTTCCAATACTGGTTTTACCTCTAAGTTTGTCAATGAAATTTTGCTAAGAAGATATATTTTCCCAGAGAGATTGATAATGGGAGTTGTGGTTTGAAGATCTGTTAAAAGTGTAGAAAAATCTAAGTGGTCCTTCTAGCTCCAGGAAGAGGGGGCTCATTTAACAAAAGAAGCTTATATTTTACATCCTTGAAGACATAAACTTAGGGAAGCCTTAGTTGCATTAAAGGCAAAGAAACTCTCAATAGTGAGAAGAAGATGGTCAGAAAGAAAAAAAAATATGCCAGTGTTAGCAATGACTTTCTCCATGAAGTCTGCAAATATTTCTTCATACATATTTGACTATTTTTTCCCTGAAAATATAAACCACAAACAACATCAATTACTTTTTCTTTTTTTAAATATTATTTATTTATTTATTTATTCATAAGAGACACAGGGAGAGAGGCAGACATAGGCAGAGGGAGAGGCAGGCTCCTCACAGGGAGCCCGATGCAGGACTCAGTCCCCAGACCCAGGATCATACTCTGAACCAAAAGCAGACATTCAACCACTGAACCACCCAGGTGTTCCATCAATTCCTTTTTCATTCATATATTCATATAGGACACAATTCAGTACTTACTAACCAATGAGATTTTGTTTAAAAATATATGTGGGGTGTGTGTGTGTGTGTGTGTGTGTGTGTGTGTGTGTGTGTGATTTCCCTCACAGAAGGCCTGGGATTCTGATCAAATGGTTTATAGTTCTACATCCATCCTTCCCACTCCATGGCAAACTCTAGGTTTAGAGGTTGATGGGCATGGACCTGAAGAAAGGCAAACTGAACTATTAATTTTCACAAGACTTGAATAAATTTGTGTATCTCCAACATTAGTAACATGTATTAAGAATTCACTCAACTATGATTCTTCCCTTCAAACACCATCCTTCCTTCATATGAAAATAGTAAGAAGAGAGATATTTATCTTAAAATGTACCTTTTAAAATATTTATTTCAAAAAATGTTTATTTCAATACACACTGAGTGCTAGAACAGAAGAGAGATCATGCATTTGTTTGGAATTTTCTTGGGACAAATTGTTGGTACTCAAAAAGACGCTCTATTTCCCCAAAAATAACACGAGAGGACATTCCCTCAGACATTTTGCAGTTGTTCCATTCCTCTTTTTGCCTCTTCTTCTCTGGAAGGGGTTGAAATCATACTTAGTGAAGCTGACCTACTCTCCACACAGGGACAGTTTTCTTGGAGAACATACCACTAGAAGCCTGAGCACATGTGCTGACACTTCTTATGGAAGTAATAGAGGCTTAGCTTCTTGGGGGGCACCTGTATCACAACTCTTTAAATGAGTTACAGAGGTATTTGGAGAAGAATCAGGACAATTTTCAGTGTAATCTAAACCTGAGCAGATGGTCACAGATGTGCCAGTGCCCCGAAGGCTAAAATAAGGACAGAGGGTCCCATAGAAGGTAAGTCCAGTAAAGGAACAGATGTGGGACCCATCAACCATGTTGTAAAATGACACATCTCCATCTTCCCAGTCCAAGAAAACTCCTATCCTTTGAGGATGCTGCTTCAGTGACAGAGACTCTGGGGAGGTAGGAAACTTGACTTCTCCTTTCTCATATGCTACCGCCCAGATATTCTTCTCTGGACCTTCTACAAACCACCCCTCTCTTCTTACTGTATTTGAGCAAACACCCACAGCCCATTTATTTACAGGTCCAGCTACTGTCCCCATATTGACTTGTACCTCCCAGTAATGTCTTCCTGTGTTAAAGCAATTCCGGCCCAGAACACTGAAGACGGCTTCACATTCCTCTTGCCCTTGGTATACTGAAGCATCACAGTTCTGAGGAACATTTTCCGTTAAAGAAACTTGTTTTCTATTCTCAGATAGGATGAGATTGGGATGAGCGCTCTCTGGATCCAGAGTAATAGCAGCTGCAGGTATAGGGGGGAATACAGGTCATATCACAGTGGCCTTAGGAAAGATGCAAATACAGGGAAAGGAGAATGAAAGAAAATAGGAGGGAGAGCCACAGAGGAGGAGGTAAAACAATTTATGTTCTGTCTTGTGTCCATCCACATATCTCCTATGGTAACATGCACTAGAAACTGATAATCAACTAATAATTAGTTATGGAAAGACCCTAAGATTTTTCCACTTACACTGGGATACAACAAGCTCTTCTTTGTCTCAGGTTGGTGTAACAGACTTCCTTCTGACTGAACTGCCCTTGCAGTTCACAATGTTATTCACAGGAATAAATCCATATATATCACTTAAGTCTCAGATTAAAGTCAGTTCCTCAGGGAAATGCCTTCAATCCACCATTTTTTCTCATGGGAATCTCTTATTCCTTCATAACCTTCATCACAATTTGTACATGTACTTTCCCACGAAGTGAGAAATCAGATCTGCTTTATTTATTTGGCCTTAATTAAATAGTTCTATAGATTAAAGCTGAATGAATGAATGATACCAGAAAAGTAAGAAATCTATTCACATTTCAGCATGAGATTGAGACTGAACTGAAAGCCATGAAATGAATACCCAACCAGGTTTTATTGGGAGTTTATATAAATGTAAGATTTTCTCGTTTGTATAGAAGAGATTATGTGGGACAAAATAATAAGGTCACTCACCTACTTTGAATTGTTCCTTTCTCCAGTCTAAAAAGAAAAAAAATTATATGGGAAACTATATCAAAAACATGTCTTCTCAACTAGTTGGATGCTTTACTCTTATTCCCTTATTTTTTTGGACTCCTAACTACCTTCAAAATAAAATTTCCAGAATATAGCACATCTCTGAAAATTGCCCTGGATATGCCTCATGAAATTCTGAGGTGTCTGAAGTCCTAAGACAACATCAATTACTCACCAGCATATAATTTTGCTTTTCTCCAGTCTGAAATAAAAAAAAAGGAATTAGATTCTCCCATTAATAGTCCCTTCACTCTAGGGTATTAAACTGCTGCAACCCTCTAAAATATGAAGATGTATGATAGTGCTATATTTTTGTGTTCATCACCTCAATGACAATTCTGGGGTATTTGTCTTCTTTAATCTCCTGTTCTATTTCTCACATTTTCCACATTGCACTAACATACTTGTGATAAAATATGAGGTTCTGATTCATTTGGGAGAGGAGAAGATAAACTTTGGGAGAGTGTACTGTAAAGCCTAAAATTTCATGTGCTGATGTCTTTAAGCCTCAAACGGCTCTAAATGCCTGTAAGCTCTCCTGCTCTCACCAGATATGTCTCCACTCAGCAGGAAAAACTTCACACTCAACTAATTTTCCTATCAGTCAAGCCAGCTGAACCCGCCCTGGTCGTCAAACTAATGAGTTTCACTTCCCTGTCAGCCTGCAAAATTTCTCAAACAAGCCAGTCACACATTTCCACAGAAACCAGTAGCACCTCATCTTGTTGTTACTAAAAAGCTTATCTCCCTCAGCCCCTGCTGCTTCACTCTGTTTCCAAGTGCGACATGTGGTTCCACATGACTTGTCGTGTCCTCCTCCCCCAGAGTGTGAGTATAGGTGATCACTAAACTGCTGTCAAGCTCATATGTCCAGTGTTGAGTGCCCTGTATATAACCACCTTATCTTACTTAGAGTAGGGAATTCTTCCCTCACTAGCAAGGTGAACGGGAGATGATCAGAACAGAGGGACAGATGAGATGATGGGTCCAACTATAACATTGATATAACTCACCTTGCTGATACAATTGCTTCCTTTTGACTGAAAAGGAATAATAACCTGTGAGATGCAAAATACACAGCATGCAGTAGGGACTCTATTTCATTTACTAGAACAAAGAAAAATGGAAAACTTACCAAGCTCTTTTTCAAGCAGTTCTAAAAAGGAAAGAAAGTAACAAAACATTTTATAGATAACAAGTCCAAGGTTTATTTTCTAGACTGTGTTACTTACACCCAGATCCTGAATGCTACTTCCATATACCTAGATCAAGAAATTCACCCTGAGAATACTATAACCATTTTTTCTAACTCCATGTTTATACCAGTGAGTTTTCTCTTTCCATTGGACTATATTATAATATTTTTTCTCATAAAGGTCCTTGGCTTCATGTCTTGCTGGAAGTCTTGGGGCTCTAGGTAAGTACAATCATGTTTCTATTTTCCAAAAGATTCCATCCATATGCACAGCTAACAAACTCATAAATTCATAGATCCCACCAACTCCGATTCACAGTTTTACCTTTGGCTTTGCTTTCTTCCTTTCTTTCCTTCTGGACTTCCCGTACTCTTCTCTTCTCCTGTTGTTGTTTCCAGGCCAAAAACATAACAGCAACCACAAAACCCCCAAGTATGAGGAAAGTCCCAGCAAATGCTATCTTCCAAGGAGAGGTCCTAGGGAAGAAGGATTCTGATACAGAAGCCCCCAAAACCTGATTAAAAACATATACAAAATAATCCTGTCCCATCCCAGCTCCTAAATATTCCCTCCTTACTCTTATTCTGTCCCCCAAATGAACAACACTGACCTGGAATAGAAATGGTTTCCACCTGTCCTTGTCCAAAGAAAGGGTTCTTCATGGAGCAGGATACTTCTGTCTTTGAACTGTCTCTCACAATGAGGGATGCCTCTATTTGAAACAACCCATCATCATCTTGGGTCTCGTCCTCAGAGAGAGATGGTATCTTCTCTCCCCTTGCATCTGTCCATTGTACCTCAGGCTGAGGAAACCATCCCTTGCCTCTGCATGTCAGCCTTATTCCTTTATCTTCTGGACCTACCATGAAAACATGAGGACCAGAACCCAGACCTGGAGAGGAGAAAGTCATTCATTTGAAACCTGGACACTTTTGGTCCGGAGTCCCTAATCTTACACAGTAACATCAGTGTGGGGATATGGACAAAGCATCATCATTCTTGGTGGGAAGAGAGTTTCTTTTCTTCTCTCATGAGATAAATGTGTAACTGTGGCTGGATATCAAGAAATTTGAAGCTGATACTAGGATTCCATAGTGATGCTTATCACACCTGCTCTACTCACACACACCTGCAATTGGTCATAAAAGGAAAAAGGCGGAGTAAATTTTACCAATGTTTTATGTTCTTTCAGGAAAACACCAATATACCTATATCTATCTATCTATTCCACTTATTGAAGCTTTAAGGAAGACTACTTTTCTGTGATTCAATTGAGTCTTGTAATCACTACCTTAAACATCTCATTTTGTAATGTTTTCCAAGTTTACTTTGTTCCTCTGAGTAGAGAGCATCTAAAAGATGAAGGTGGCCAGGTGCAGTTATTCCATGGAAGGATATATATATATATATATATATATATATATATATATTATTTAACTTTTCCACTCTCATTTATTTCTTTTCATATTTCTTCTCTTCAACTTTGTACAGTCTACTAGTGGGTATACTAGTGGATCCATGTCACCAGCACCTATATTAAAACATTATATTACTATCCTGGCATTTAAGGCTATATATTATTTTGTCTTTTTTAAACTTAATATCTCATGACATGGATCCTATTAGATCTGGCTCAGTCCTACTCTGATCACTCAGATATAGAAAATATCTTAGAACCCTCAGAGATTTTTTTTGGCTAAAAATTATAATGAAATTAATAATTTAAACTATCAGATCCCAACCTGCCTGGGAGGGATACACTTCTAAAAAACAGAAAGCAATCTAAAAGACAGTCCTCAGAATTGCTTAAGGGAGTTGCCAAATCTCTTGAACAAAGAAAATTAATAGAAGTGAGTGAAACTTGTCATGAGAAAAACAGACTCTTAACTATACAGAACATATTAATGGTTACCAGAAGGGAAGGGTGGGGGGATGGGTGAAATTGGAAGAGAAAATAGGAAGAAAGACATCAAAGGGGAAAAAAAGAAACTGGTCATGAGCAAAATGCAGCAGTCAAAGCTTAGGAAGCAAATATTATTAGACAAAATAGACCTTGTGTCTCATGGAAGAATATAACCATTGAATCTCCAAGTTGAAATAAGCAAAAACTATAACTATGTTGAAAAAGAGGAACAGAAAGGCATGCTCATTCCTGAGCATAGAAGCAGCTGTACTAGGCAAAGTTTAACTGAACAGAAGGTAAGTCTAGATATACAATCAACCAACTGTTTCTAAACTTTGGACTTTATATCCATTGGTCAATGAACAGTTATGGGAAAGGTACTGAAAAAATAGCATGACTTCTATGAAGCTATGTTTGGAACTGTGAAAGCTTTGACTTCCTACTTAGAAGATACTAGAGTGAGATCACAGTAACGGCTCAGGAGAGTTTGTTACTCTTTCCTTCAAGACCTACTAGACTTAGATTCTTCTATCATAATGAAGATGGATAAAATAAGCCTATAGATATCTTGTCAGATAAAATCAAATCAGAGGTATTAATTTAAGATAGGCCTAACATATGCAAAAATGAAGAAAAACATTGCAAATAAGAAGTTTGGGCAGAGAATACGTTTTAAAAATGGAAACACTATTATATTGTCAAAGAAATAAACAGATAAATTATGAACACATAGATAATTTATAATTTTCCCTGATATCTATGAGTATATGGAAAATATGCATTTGTAAATCAGTACAGATTTTCTACATCATTTGCTAATAGCATAGAAGTGAGCGAAAATAATTAGGAACAAATATTTTGAGGATTCTATAAAGTTTAATACCAAAATAATACTTACATAAATTAAAGATCTAAATGTAAAAATCAATGCAATAAAAGTGAGATAGAAATGAACTAAAACTATATACACTTAACCACATAGAAAAATCTCACAAATATAATGGTAAAAAATGCCAGACATAAAAGAGCCCACATATGTGAATTCAAAAACAGACAAAAACTAATCTATGAAATTAGAAATCAAAATACTGATTACCCTTGAGGAAATCATATTGAAAAGGAAAAAAAATGGATTTTCCTAGATTCTAACTAAACTCTCTTTCTTGATTTGGGTGCTGGTTTGTCAGGTGTGTTCACTTTGTGAATATTCATTATGTGTCACATTTAAAATCAGTAGTAAATTCTCTGCATATGTTACATTTCAGTATATTTGCTGAAAAGATATTAGAAGAAAGGAAGGTGAGATATTTTTGTTATGTTGGTATACAGGAGTACATCTAAGAGCACTAAAAAACTAAGAAGACATAAAAGGTAATGTTGATAGTTAAGACTGTGTAATACTTCTAAACTTCTACAATTGAAAGATATTACATGACTTCACTTATATGTAGGATCTAAAAACAAGTGAAAAAATAAACAAAACACACAAAAAAATGAATTCATAAATACAGAGAACAAACTGGCAGTTGCCAGAAGGGAAGGGAGTAGGGATGGGAGAAACTGGTAAAAAAGATTAAGAGGAACAAATTTCCATTGGAAAGAAGAAGATGGCTGATGAGTAGGAGGACCCTAGGCTCACCTTGTCCCGTGAACACAACTAGAGAATTATTAAATCATCCTAAATACCCCAGAAATTGACCTGAAGGATGACAGAACAAACTCCACCATTAAAGGGAGATGAGAGCCACATTGAACTATGTAAGGGTTTGGGACATGTGACTTCGAGGAGAAAGGGATCATGATGCTATGAAGAGGAGGGGGCCATAGTCATGGAGAAGCATGGGAGAGAGAGAGAGGAGCACATTTCCCCAAAGCCATTGGCTTAGAAAACAGAATGGCTGAATTTCATTAGTCCTTTCAATCCTGTAGATTGAAAGTGACATAATGGAGAAACATTTACCATGCATTTGGATGTCAAATGAAGTCTAGAGTAGCAATACTTAGATGGGACAAACTAGACTTTAAAACCAAGACTGTAATAAGAGATAAAGAAGGGTATTACATCATAATAAATTGGACAATCCAACCAGAAGATCTAATAATTGTAAATATTTATGCACCCAACATGGGAGCTACTAAATATATAAAATAAGAACAAACGTAAAGGAACTAATTGATTATAATACAATAATAAGAGGGGACAGATTATCTTAACAAAACATTAACAAGGAAACCATGGCTTTGATTGACACACTGGATCAGATGGACTTAATAGATATAATCAGAACATTTCATCCTAAAATAGCAAAATACATGTTCTTATCAATTGCATATGGAACATTTTCCAGAATAGACCACATATTAGGTCACAAATCAGGCTTCAACACATACAAAAAGATTGAAGTCATGCCGTGCAACTTCTCTGAGCACAATGCTATGAAATGGAGTCAACCACAAGAAAAAAATCCGGAAAGACCACAAATCAAAGGAAAAAAAAAGCAAAATGGTCATGAGCAAAATGCAGCAGTCAAAGCTTAAACAACATGCTAATAAGCAATGGATGGGTCAACCAGGAAATCAAAGAATAAATGAAAAATACATGGAAACAAATGAAAATGAAAACACAATGGTTCAAAACCTTTGGAATGCAGCAAAAGCAGTCCTAACATGGAAGTATATAGCAATACAAGCCTACCCTAACAAGCAAGAAAAATCTCAAATAACCAACCTAACCATATATGATAAGGAGGTAAGGAAAAAAAATGGAGCCCAAAGACAGTAAAGGGAAGGCAATAATAAAGAATACAGCAGGGGCACCTGGTTGGCTCAGTGGTGTAAGCATCTGACTCTTGATTTCAGCTCAGGTTATGATCTCAGGGTCAAGATCAAGCCCCTCATTGGGCTCTGCACTTGGCATGGAGTCTGCTTTAGATCCTCTCTCTCTCTCTCTCTCTCTGTTCCTCCCCCACGTGCTCTCACTCTCAAAAAAAAAAAGGAATGGAGAAGAAATAAAAGATATGGAAACTAAAAAAACAATAGAATGTATCAATGAAATCATGTTCTGATTCCTTTAAGAAATTAAAATCGGTGAACCTGTAGCCAGACTTATCAAAAAGAAGAGAAAGGACCCAGTAAATAAAATCATAAATGAGAGAGGAGAAATAATAACCAACATCACAGAAATACAAATGATTATAAAATGACATTATGAAAAACGATTTGCCAATAAATTCCTAGAAACATATAAACTACCAAAACCGAAACAGGAAGAAATAGAACAGAACATGAACAGACTGATAACCAGCGAAGAAATTGAATCAGTAATCAAGAAAGTCCCAACAAACAAAAGTCCAGGTCCAGATGGCTTCATGGGTGAAATCTACCAAACATTTCAAGAAATGTTAATACCTATTCTTCTCAAAATATTTCAAAAATAGAATAGTAAGGAAAACTTCCAAATTCATTCAATAAGGCTAGCATTTCCCTGACACCAAAACCAGATAAAGACTCAACTGGAAAAGAGAACTACAGGTCAATATCCCTGATAAACATGGATGGGAAAATTCTCAGTAAAATACTAGCAAACCATATCCAACAATACATTAAAGAAAATTGTTCACCACGATCAGGTGCTATTTATTCCTGAGTTGCAAGGGTGGTTCAATATTTGAAAATCAATCAACATGTTATGCCACATTAATAAAAGAAAGATAAAGAACCATATGATCATTTCAATAGATACAGAAAGGCATTTGACAAAGTACAACATCCATTCATGATTAATACCCTCAACAAAGTCAGTTTATTTTTTTCCATTTTAAAAATTGTTTTTAATTTTTTAAATTTAAATTTTAAGTAGTTAATTTAGAATGCAGTAACGGTTTCTGGAGTAAAATTCAGTGATTCATTACTTACATACAACACCCAGTGCTCATTACAAGTAAGTGCCCTCCTTAATTTTCATCACCCATCTAATCTACCCCCCCACC